GCAAATTATTAACAAAACTTTAAACCAAAACGCAGCTGTTCACATGCACGATATTTGCACATGCATTTCAGCAATTTGATGCATGATCCTCGGGCAATTCATCTGTATAACGTTTGCAGTTGGTTCCCAAAATTTGTGGAGAAATTCAGCTTCGATGTAACCATATATTACATAACATATAGTGAGTGCTTTAAGTGAATCTAAACTTTTAATGGGTAGTATAGTTAAGCAAATAAGTTGTAATGTTAATGAGAAGATTATCACAATTGTTTCATCATAAGGATGATCAGAATGCTAAATGTTATATCTAATAAATATTTTGGTCAATAGTCAATAGCAAAGGGGAACAGATATTCAGACACCATCGTATATGGTACGTACAATATTTCAACGGGCATAAGTACTTAGTTTTACATAATTATGTTTATAGAACAGACTTAGAGGACTGTAGAACACTGATGGTTTCACCAAGAGGTCGGCTGTTTCTGATGGAGACGCTTGATGAACCTGGTGGTTTTCATGAGGTTCTGGATGGCGAAACTAAACTACTCTTTGATGTAGCCTTCCCAAAGGAGAGCGAATCTATGGCCCCATATGCAGGAGATATATCTCCTGATGGTAAAGAATTCGTCTTCAAGTCCCAAGAGGATGTCTTCTACTGGTATGTTGAGAAAGAGGAAGACATGGAGTCGGTTCTAACGGATTCCACGCAGGCTTTGACACTCCCTTACTTTGAAGAAATCAATGGCCAGAGTATTGCGTGGAGTTTGGATGGGGCGTCCTACTTCACAATATCAACAGGTGAAAACGAACCATTGTTTCGATATGACAGACTTGCCTAACACGAATTGAAGCAGTGTGTCCCAACAAACATCATCGTCGTCATAGTTTGTGCCGACGATAATTCTTTTGTAGCATTCTCTCGGAAATATTATGGGTAATATTATGGGTTGTCTCCGTTTAGAAGTGCTGCTGTGACATGTCTTTTATCGTATAATTTGAATACATATATAACAGTTATTTAAAGTTACTGTAAAATATGGCTTATGTAAGTGTTTACAGCTAAATCAGCTGATCTGTATTAATGCGCGTATGAAACCAAACTGCTCAAGCCTCATGGAATCACAATCGAACCACAATATAGTACTGTAGATAACGGTATGAAAAAGACCACAATTCAACAGTTTCCAAAGTCGTTTCAGGGCGAATTTATTAATCACACCCCTTGTATATTTGAACTATATTTTCAACGAGTACAATTACATATCCAATATCTAGTCGTAGATCGCAAATGTGTCGATCAAGCCTACTCGTGTCAGCAAGGTCAATCCAATAATGAATCGATGAAATATTATGAATGAACGTGGGTTATGTGAAAGTAGTTCCGGCATCCAGTGAAAATGTGCAAATATACGATTGACCAATCGACGTTGAGAATCTCTAAATTGCACACTGTGCAAATATCAAAATATTACACGGGATCTCCTCACCCGTATGGGTAATAAATAACAGATATTTACTATGGAATATGGCCGATAGTTTTCACAGTGAAGCTTGCAAAACATTAGAAGTACATGCTGTCATATGGCTCCTGTATGTTGATACGCTGTGTAGTGTATCTAACGTTATCAACGTCACTAACCTTATAATATCTGTATTTAGATAACTTTGCACTGTCTATAAGTAAGTATTTATTATCTAACCATACACTATCCCTATTTCTTGCCATACAATATCTTTATTACTTAACCTTACAATATCTATATTTCTCTAATCTATTTGTTTGTATCTTTATCAACTAACCTTGGAAAAATAATAAAATCTAACCATTCAATATATATATATATATATATATATATATATATATATATATATATATATATATACATACAAACATCTTTATTATCTAACCTGACGATATCTATATTCATCTAACGTTGAACTAATTCTAAATCTTTTTTATCTAACCTTACTATTTCTGTGTAATCTAACATTGCAATATCTATATTACCTAATCTTACAATACATATATTTATCTAACGTTGCACTTTTTTCATCTTCATTATCTTACCTTAAAGGTCACATGCAACGTAAAACACAACTTTGCAGATTCTGATACCTTTCGGTATGGACATACAGAAACAATTCATCAAAAGTGCAAATTCAACTTATAAAGTTGAAAAATAACGCGATGAAAGAATCCGCGCGAAATCGGAGTTCAAACGATTCACTACCTTTCCCCCAGAAGAATTGAAGTGGTTTCAACAGCTGGGCTGCGCTCATAGAACATGCGCAGTGAAATAGGTTCGCGCAGCTTGGAAGCGGGTTGTCCGGTGAATACTCGGTGAAGGCTTTGGTGTGAGCTATTTTTCTAATGTTTTGTTGATATTTGACAGGCGCGAGCTTTCCATATGTTATGACAGTAGATTACCGATTTAACTGTTTATATAATTTCATTTGTCTATTTCACCATACGTTCTTCTTACCGAGTCACTTTCTCAGTTCGATACTTAAAAGCAATGTCATTATTCAGCGTTGACAGAATTCCTAACTTTGATATAGGTATGTCGTTGTCACAGACAAAACTCAATGTCTGTTTTATTGACGCCTATGTGTCTGCCTGCCTGTCTGCTAATGACAATATTCAATACACAACTTCGATCACTGACCACATGCAATTTGAACTTCAAACCTATCAGGCTATACACCATAAACAAAACGCATTGATTTATGGCGCGAGTTCGGTCTCTGTCACGTTATGTAATTACACAGACAGGCAGGTGTGATACTTGTACACATGACATGTTATGATGTCTGTTGATTGCAAAATGTTATACACCAAAAATGAACATGTATTTACAAAACCCAACATCTATATATATACACAGACAATGAGCCGTGACAGCATCTGCAAATGAACCAGCCGTTACACTTGAGTGCACACCCACCCGTACTGACTGGGTTCGGTATCCCGGGTGCTTCGTTTCTTGGGAAGTAAACCCAAGTACAAAATATTGTACTTTTGATTTGCGATTGTACGCTTATAATTTTGTTTATATGCTTTTTCATAACCAGCAATGTATATCATATGTCACGAATAAGTGATAATTGTGTTTTAATTATGTTTGATTTTTTGGTGGCATGTGACCTTTAAATATGGTTATTTCTTAACCTTACAATATCTAGCTTTATCTAACGTTGCACTATTTTTTTGTATCTTTATTATCTTACAATACAATGTCTTTATAATCTAACCTTGCAATGTCGATGTTTATCTAACTTTGCAGTATTTGTTTTATATCATTATTATCTAACGTTACAATATCTTTATTACCTAACCTTTCTATATCTATATCCATTTAACGTTGCACTATTTTGTTGTATCTCTATTATCTGACAATACAATGTCTGTATAATCTAACCTTGTAATATCTATGTTTATCCAACGGCGCGTTATTTGTTTAATATCTATATTACCTAACCTTATAATATCTTTCTTATCTAACCTTTCTATATATATGTTTATTTAACGTTTATCATTTAATGTCCGTTCATAACAAAAGACGATGTTACAATTTTGGTCACATATGAATAAACACGACGAACCGTTTCTATATTCTATATTGTTCTCAAAATATGCTAAAAGCAGCCTTGATTGTGCGACTCCGACTCCAATGGTGTTGACACCACGTGTTGGCAAAAGGTAGCGCGTACCCTGACCCACGGTTGGCGCCCATCAAAACACATGCAATGTATAGTCATTTTTTCACGTAAAACAAACCCACGGCAACAAACAGACGGAATTGCATCGGACATCTTATTGGGTGCATCACATTTGGAACTGTCCTACACATGTCTACCATAAAATCCTTTGAAATTTTTACCTTGATGAAACAACATCTGGGCAAGAGTTATATGGTGCTTTTGACATCTTGGTGAAAAGGGCAATCTCGAAATCTGTGCACCCACTAAATACCAGAGATTCTAGGAAGTCTTAGTTGAATTAGGAAAAAAAGAACACTCACTCACACCAAAGACTGACCCCAATGTCTCGAAAGAAACTTAAGTATGAGTTATGATTTTAGTTACAGTTTTTTCTTAAATTTGAGAAAAAGCAGGAAAATGCATCTCCAAGAATAATTTGAGTTAGGTACATAGGTTATACGAGTTGTTTTGGCTTTTTGGTTTTAGGATGCGACTCAGTTAGAAACTCAGCTGTTTCAAATTGTCAAACTCAATCTCAATAAAAACGTAGGTTTGTTTCGAGAAATCAGGTACTGGAGTTGCTGGAGCTCCTAGTTGGAGTTGATAGTTGAATGCGGAGTGAAACACGGTTCAGTCACTCCCACTCCCATCAGCAAACACGAGTTAGGAATTAGAACCGCTCTTCAAACATAGCCTGAAGGCCAGTTTATTAAGTTTATTAAATACAGATGAAGAATCAGCTTGCACATTTATAACATGAGAAATCAAACATGAGAGAACAGGAACAGTAACTGATCATTTAAACTGTTTCTTTGCATACTTTACAAACGTGTCTATTGTGTGATCAGCGTCTGCATACTTAGGTATGGCACTGTCCCGCATCATAAAGCCATGTATAGACCCTGGCGTCCTTCATCCTCTGAGCATACATCAGACCATCATCCCTCAGATCATCAAACTCTGCTGTGACAACAAACGCTGGAGCTACTCCACTAAGATCCGGAGCCATCAACGGTGCAAAATAAGGATTCAAGAAAAACTTCTCAAATTGATTGGAGATCTCCTCATCGCCATAGTCTAAATTTTGAGTTGTTTATTCAAGCGTTTGTCCATATCACAGGGCATTCGTACAGGAAAGACCTCAGCAATTACACTAATTTACCGTTAGTGGTCTAATGTGTGTTAAGGGGCGATGAGGTAGCCTAGTGGTTAAAGCGTTCGCTCATCACGTTGAAGGCCTGGGTTCGATTCCCCACATGAGTACAATGTGTGAAGCCCATTTCTGGTGTCCCCAGCCGTGATATTGCTGGAATATTGCTAAAAAGGGCGTAAACAAAACTCACTCACTCAATGTGTATTAAAAAGCCACCCAGGTTGTCCGATGATGTACACTGCAGTTTGCAGGTACTTCTTATTGACAGTTCCGTAAAATTACAGAGAAAGTTTCCGAAACACTCTGATACAACCGCGACAGGTTTGCTGAAATCGCCTACGCTATAGTTGTGGAAATTCAGTGAGTGAGTGAGTTTGGTTTTACGCCGCTTGCAGCAATTTTCCAGCAATATCACGGCGGGAAACACCATGTGGAAATTCAGCATCGTGTAGCTTTGCTGTCACACATCTGAGGTAGTTCTTTTGCACTGTAGTGTATTTTACGGCCGATCCGACATACCAGACGTGATTATTTTCCATGTGCTTCAGTCAATAGATCCTGGTTGTAGTGACATCAAGTTTCGTTCCACCACACCCAAACTTTGCCTGTGCCTTAGTTTTTTCTTGACGTGTTATCATTTTGATTTATCAATTTATTACAAACAGATTCCTTTGCGTCAACATAAATCATTCATGCGCAAACACAACTAATGTCACCCTCAACTCGCGTTGCGACAACTTCTGTACATCAAGATGTACGTAAACGATGAGTTAGGTAGACATACGCATCTATAATGTAGACAGTGAATGCCACTTTAAGCTATCATACACTGTTGTTTGCGAATGGTAAGGATCCAGAAATGTCCTTTGTGAAACGTTCGGTAGTCCCATTGCTTGAGAGACATACTGCTGTGGTCAGTGACAATGTTTCGTTTCGTTGGTAAGACTTACAACGCTCTATCGATATGTGAGTGAGTGAGTTAATATTTAACGTCACATTGGCAATATTACATCCATATCGTGACGAGAACATTTGATATTGAAATGAAATATATGGAAATTATAAAAACCTGCCGACGAAGGGCAGTAAAACAACTAGAATATCACAGATATACATGTACAACTAGTAATAGAGTCTAAAACATTTTAACCATAGGGGACAACACAATATAAAAATAGGCTATAGATCACTAAAAACTGAAAGTAGGTCACCATACTAGGGTCCATGGGGCTATCGATATGTGAAGAACCAATTTGAGGAATTGTACTTGTATAGTCACCAGTGAGTGTGTTGAATTTAGCGTGCCCGCTAGTCGTTTGGTTCAATATACACCATACCTGAAAACTAGACTAATACCCCATCCCCACCACCCCCAGTCTGAATTACACCATTGCAAACTGATTAACGTAACTGTAATTGTATCACCAAGCATAATTCCAATAGTTAACACATAGTAGCTTCAGTCAGCGTCGGTAGCTTGATTCTACTGCAATAACTGGTGCCAAGGTGGCCCATTTGTCTATGGGGCAGCAATTCGCTGTGGTTGTTGTTCAAATCTCGGTAAGGTTGCTATGTCTGTCAGCACCATATACGTTGCCATGGTTTCACCAGAGTGGTAAACTCCTGAGACCTGCTTCATTCCCTCATCAAGTAAAGAGGGTGAGCCAGTTTGGTTTTAAGCCGCTTTATGCAATATTTCAGCAATATCACAGCGGGGGGCACCAGAAATGGGCTTAACACATTCTACACATGTGGGGAGTCGAACCTGTCTTCGGCGTGACGAGCGAACGCTTTAACAACTAGGCTACCTCACCGCCCCTCATCAAGTCTAACAAGAGAACTGTTCACAGCTGCTGACCCGTGAAGATCTGGGTTAGAATTGATCTTCAGTAACCCATGCTTATCGTAAGAGGCGACTAACGGAATCGGGTGGTCAGGCTTGCTGACTTGGTAGACGAATGGCATCGCATCCCAATTGCGTAGAACGATGCTCATGATGTTGATCACTGGATTGTATGGTGCAGACTCGATTATTTACAGACCGCCGCCATATAGCTGCAATATTGCTGAGTGCGGCGTAAAATTAAACACACTCACTTGCGTATGTATGTAAGTGTGTATGTATGTAAATGTACATATATGTAGGTATGTATGATGGTACGGCTGGTGGTATGTATATATATTCAGCAGCACAAAAACCAACATCAGTACGAATTCAAAATTAGATAGGCACTGTAATCAATTGATTTCAGAAATGGACATAATAAGCGGATCAAAAACATTTTTTTGAGTACAATATCTTGACACATCAACGAAAAACATTACGTGAACGTTTGCAGTCCATTCAGACCCTTGACTTCAGTATCTAGTGTGACCACCACGAGCGGCAATAACTGCAGCACAGCGTCTATGCATGGAGTGCACCAATCGATTGATGAAGGCCATTGGCACCTTGAAAAAACACACTCTGACAAAGGCCTGGCGGAGTAAATCGGCTGTGTTCGGCCTTGGTATGACATTATTCTGTCTCCTCTGAATTTCATCCCAAAGATGTTCAATTGGGTTTAAATCAGGACTAAGGGCTGGCCACTGCATAATGTTGACATCGTTCTGCTGTATGAAGTCCCGTGTAGCCCTGGCAGTGTGGGCCAGGGCATTATCATGCTGGAAAATGTTGTTCCAGTGACTTGCGAAATGTGGTATGACGTGGGGTCTGAGAACTTGGTCGATGTAGCGCACCGCTGTGATGCCGCCTTCTCTCCTTGCACCAAGGTTCTGGAACACCATAGGACCAACTCTCTGGTTCAGGTCTATTCCAACCCATACCATGATGCTTGCACCTCCCCATGGGTCTCTTTCCATAACATATTGGTCTGAGTAACGCTGGCCATGTCGTCGCCATATTCTTGTTCTGCCATCTGCAGTTGATCAGTACCGACTCTCATCTGTGATCAGAACAGTTCTCCATTGCCTGTATCGCCAGTTTTGGTGTTGTAGGGCAAACTGTAGACGTTCACGCCAATGACGAGGGGTGAGGATAGGTCCCCGGTAAGGTCTACGGCAGTGGAGGTTCTCGCTGCTAAGATGTCGGCGTACTGTATCAATACTGATTGGGTCTTCCGTGTGTTCCCACTGTCTGGCGTGCTGTTTCAGATGCCTGCATGAAGAGATTCTGTGCACAGCATGGCGGTCTTATCGATTTGTGGTCACCCTTGGTCTACCAGTACGGGGGCGAGCATTTGTGGTGTTGGTGGCCCGGAAACGTTTCTGCAGCCTGTATATGGTCCGAACGTTGACCTAGAAGTTATTGGCAACGGCTTGTGCAGTGTGGCCAGCTTCAAGTCTTCCTAGCGCCTGGTTCCACTGAGCTGTCGTGAGTCGCAGCATCCTGCTGACGTTGTTATGTGAATGTTTCAACCAGGTTTGGAGGTGCATTTTATAGGGCTGTTCTTTGTGCAGCACGAGTTGCCTGAAAAAAATGGAGAACAACGTACCATCTCCGAGATCAGGTTGCGTTTGTGAGACCATTTCCTGGGTTCTATTCTGAGTATTGGAAGGAATGTCTTTGCTCAGGTAAAGTTGGAGATGTTGCCAAAAATATTCAATCAAAACATTAAATGAGTTTACAGTTATCCGTTTCTGCGAAGGAAAATTCGAAACTGACGTTTCTTTTGCTGCTTAGTATATGTATTTATGGTTGTACATATGTGTGGTTTTATCTATGATGTTTATGATATTTATACGAGTGACTGTATTTGTATTCATGTTGTATTGCTGATATAATGTATGTGTTACAGTACAACCAGAAATTATTGAGAAGTTAAAAAAGGTATTTTTTTTTACATTTTTTTCACTCATTACTCAAGTATTAAATGTGAATATTAGCAGAACATAAATCCAGATACAAAGACAGGTGAACAGTCAGTATTTTGTCAGGTCACCATGGTCAACAATGCAACCATGGTCAACAATGCAGGCTTCAATGCGGCGGGGCATACTACTGATCAAAGAAGTTAGAAAGTCGTGGTACGTGCTGTCCCAATATCGGACCACCTCTTCTTTCATTTCAGCAATATTTGTCAGATTTTTCTTATTGACACTTTCCTTCATAAGTCCCCAAACATTTTCTATTGGATTTAGATCAGGGCTATAGCTTGGCCAATCTAATAATGTCATATTTTGGGTTCGAAACCAGGCCTGTGAATGCTTTGAACGATGTTTTTGGTGGTTGTCCTGCTGGAAAATCCAAAAATGTCCATAGAACTCGTGAGCAGATGGCAGTAAATGTCCCTCGAGAATATCTGTGTACCGCTCACTGTTCATATTCCCCTCAAATACACAGAGGGGCGTTGCCCCTAACACAGATATGGCACGCCACACGTTAAATTTCGGACTGTACTTGGGGCGCTGATACAAAGGTTTTTCAGTTTGTTTGGTCCACAATTTCAGTGTATTAGGAAACAGCCACACAAAACATTCATCTGAGAAAATCACATTGTCCCAGTTAAAAGTTCTATGCTGTAAGCACCAGTTCAACATTCGCTCCTTTCGTTTAGGTTTCATGATCGGTGATGGAATTCCTCGATTTTTTTGCCAACCCATTGCATGCAGCTCAGTTCTAATTGTCTCCTTACAGACAGTCACATTTCCTCTATCAATCATATCCAGCTTTAAGTCTTCTAAACTCCTTCGTTTGATTTTAGAAACAAAAATACCAAGTCGACTCCTGTCACCGACAGTCAATTTTCTGGGCCTACCTGCGCCTCCCTGGTGCTTAATGCCATATCCATTTGCTATACTTTTTCAAAACACGATAAACAGTGGACAAAGCGATGCCTGTTCTACTTATAATCACTTTAGTTGATCTGATGTCCTTGTTATAATACTCTAAAATCAACTTCCACTTCTCTAAATCATCCATACTGAGGATCACTGAAAATGTCGTCTGCTAGCAAGTAAACAAGGGGGGATAACTCTTCACAAACTAATGAAAAGGGATTAACGGAGTTGTCTCTCTTGAATGAAATCAAGCACTTGATAGCTGGTCAAGGTAGTTTATACTAGAAATCTAATTTAACATATTCCTAAAATTCTTAATAATTTCAGGTCATACTATAGTTCAGGGTCTTTATGTTATTTGTATTTACGGCAGAA